TGGTTTGCGATCAACTTTTTAAAATGCATATCTATATACATGTATAATTCAGGTAATTAAAAACTACTAGGCTCTAAATTGTTGATGGCTTACTTTTTGTAATTTGATAATGAATGCCTTAAATTTGCAATGAACTGTACCAAATTCAAAGCTTGGCAAAGTCATTAGGGCAAGGGTAAATCCTGCGTGAATAGTTGGGCCGCTCCTAGAGTTCTAAGGCTTTTAAATAGATGGGGTGTGCAGTTTAGTCCCATTTATTATTCTGAAAAGATTTTGTAAAAACATATACCCCGGTATATTTAGATTATAAAATAGTTAACCAAAAGACCGGCATATGAAATTTATTTTATTAGAAAGCAAGGTAATTGATTTAAGCAAGGTAAATGATTTTCTGGATCAGTGTCTTTTAAACAGGGGAACTAAATCTAGCTCACTTGGGACGATAAAGGACTGTGATTGTATGCCCTTGTATATTAGAGGGAGGGTTTAATTAAAAAAAACAAAACTGTTTAGCTTTAATATGACATTAAACTGACATAATGGTCATTTTTGCATTGTCAAGTTGAGCTGAATTTACTATATATCTATATGTCTATAATAATGGTGATTGACAAACAGTTGTTTAGGATGAAGCATAAATCTGCCCTGAAAAAATAAAAAAGACTGCCCCATTCTTTTTATTAAATTGAAAATTACAGGTAATTTCCTGTGGATATTTATAGAAATTTCCTAGGGCCATGGGAGTTATTTATAGTTCATTTGAAGAAAATGATAAAATTGAAAGGAATTAAAATGTAAATATTTACACTTGCCTGTTTGCTCACTCTCGGATAGGCATTATGTCATTTTAATTACTAAATGACAACCTCTGTCAGGGAATTGACTCTTTAGCTCAGTGGTCTTGAGCATGGCGTTATTTGCAAGTAAGCTGGTGGTGTTGAGTTTAAATCCCATACAGGGCATGGGATTTTACAACAGATGCATTTTTGAATGGCACATTTATTAAATAAGGATTATTTAAATGAATTCTGTTGACCTCGGTTGTTTTGGAATATAGTATGAGATTTTTTTTGTTAACTGTAACTGCATCAAGTGCATCGGCATAAAAAATCAAATAAAATTTAATTATGAAATATTCCAGCAAATTAAAAAACCTTGTTGTTTGCATTATTTACATTGTTACGTAAATAAAACATAAACAAAAGTGAGAAAATTGTGTGCGTCATTGTGAAAGATTTTACCTAATTCTATACTGTTTGCCTAGTTTCAAGGAGAAAATGAACATTCTCAAAGCATTACCTCATTGGCACTAAGCAGAATTCTCCTTGATTATTTTTAGTATTTTTACCCCCCTCCCCCCCACTCGATATCTCGTTTATTAGTTTTGTGCATTCCATAGTAACAATATGAGTGGAGTATTTATGAACAGCATAGTTTCTCACCTGAGTAACACGGTGCCACACATTCATTCAACATTACATCATAGCTATTAGGAGCTTCTTGTTGCCATCAGCACCTGTTCTTGTAAAATTTTGGCAACAAGCACTTTTGTCTTTAACTAGGGCATTCTCACCATCTATTTAGGTGTGATTACCTCCCTTTGAAGTTAAGTTCTTTTCTGTTATTTAACCATTTCCCTCATGTTACACATATTTTCGTAAAGTGAAATGGGTGACTCCATTGCAGAATTTAGTAACAGAGAAAAAGAGCATTAGTGGCAAAAGCGAAAAATACAAAAAAAAAAAAAACAACAAAAAAAAAACAAAAACAGTGAAAGACTTTGTCATAGAGAGCTAAGGACAATCTGATCTATGATAGAGTCGGACCATTTAATATTTATTATAATATTTACTGCTTAATTTTAGCACTTTTAAGTGTTGAGATTATAGAGTACCACTAAGCCAGTGCTAGGGGGCGTGAGGGATGTTGCATCTTTTCATTATCCCTCATGTAGAGACTCAATCAAACCGAGTCTGCAATTCTCTTGTAATTTTGTTGTTTTTAATGCTTCCGAGGGATCACTTTTTCCCCCCTCTCAGTCTCACTCATTAAAATCCAGTTAATTGATGCACTTCATTCATGTTATCAAAAAAAGTAAAAAATCAATTTGAGGCCTCGATTGCAGAGTGGTTAAAGTCACTGACCATAAATCATTGGCCACACACTGCTGTGAGTCCGAATCCCAGAAGGGATTTTGGATTCTTCTTTCATGTATTGAAGCCATCAAACGACCTAAATAACTTTTAGGATAGTAGTTTAACTCCAGTCTAAAGTGACTGTAACAGTGTAAAAAATAGCATCAATGTCACTTATACCCACTTCTCACAAACCATCACACCCCTCAAAGAATCCATTTGAACTATGCACAGAGTTATTGCTCTTGCCATAAATTTAGGCTCTAATGAGCTATTTTGCTGATGTGTTTCATCATTGGATACTGGATATATAAATGTAATTGCTTTTGATATTTTGATATATTGTTGCCAACTTTAGCAAAGTATCATACTAATTGCCTCAAAACATGCAATACATTTTATTAAAATCCATTGTTGTATTGTATTTCAACGTTTAATTCAGTTTTTTTTAAAAGCGGTGACTTTATTACAGAAATGTAATACACTAAGCCACCGCAGGCTACCATACCAAACCTAGAAAATTATCTATTATAGTAAATGAATAATAGTTTGTAGTTGTGAAAATAGTAGATTTTTTTAATGCCATTTCAATTTGAAAAGAAACCTGAGCCTTATAGAATGGTGACCTACCTAATAACGGAGATCAAAACTACTGAATTAGCTTTTATATATGATTTCATTTTTCGTATTTTATTTATAGTTTTTTTTCATGCAATATAAAGTCGTTTTCCCTACAGAGTGGGCTCATTTAACTGGTGGGAGTGTCTTAAAATTGCTTTGTTTAGCAAGGTTATTGCCAATAATTCATAGTATTTACGTGACCTTGTAAACAGTTTATTTTAGTCGAAGGAACCTTCGTGTTTCATACATATATTGCTCACAGATTTCTATATTTATTGCTTTTCATTCAATATATTGTTATGGAATCTCTTTTAATAAAGTTGACGTACAAAAACAGAAACCACGTTATTAGTGCATGACTGAGGCGGGGTTATCAGTGTTACATAAGACTTTCCTATCTTACTGTAACAATTAAATGTTGTTGTTTTTTCTGGTTATTATATAATTGTTTTTAGAGAAAAGTGTAATTTGTAAACATATCTTGCTATTGTCAGAGCTATTTATAGAAACAGCAATTTCCGATTTGAATAAAAGCAGTTCATTTATTGTTCTTTAAGTATTTTAAAATGTTAAATAATTTGATATCTCATTTTATTTTGGGAATTTGATATCTAACTTTATTTTGGGTTATATTCTAAGATTTGAACGCCTTTGTTTATGGCAACACAGTATTTTATTGCTTAAATGTATCCCTGTATATCAGATTATTCTAAAATTAAAGTAGTTAAGTGTTAATCATTATCGAACAACAACAAAATCAAGTTAGTTACACATCAAATACCAGGTTCAGTTTGAACCCTAAACCTGCTGGTGGCTACAGAATCTATGCAAGCGACCAGCCCAGACCAACATCAGACAAGTACCCTATAATGAAGTCTATAAAGAATTTAAAGGCATATGCTATAGTGTCATTATATGTCATTTTGTAGTAAAAAAAAAAATTTAGATTTTAATTAAATTCTTTTATACAGTTTTCATATGTCTATAATTATGTGTTTATGACAACTATAGCATACACTGTGTTATAGAATAGCATTATTTGAGAGGCATGTAAGACAGTCATTATGATTGACAATCCATGATGGTTACCCTTGTTAAGCTGATGACCCTTTATGTTTAAGGTCATTTAGTAAAAGGGTCACTGATTTACAGCTGGAAAATATGAATGCCATTCAACTATTTTTCTTCAGTCTTTAATATATACTGGTTAACCATAGAATGATCTTAATCATATTCTTTGAGAGTGTTAAAGTTGAAGATTAAGGTCACCATTTCTTAAATCTTTATAGTATTCGGTCAATAGATACAATTATAGACAGATGACCTTATTTGTATTTTTGGTCATTATGTCAAATTTCATATTAAACTTATATAACAGATTCTGCTAAAGAACTGAAGTATTAAATTTCAGTTAAATCTTCCAGATTGCATAGGTTGAATTGCTTCTTTCATAGAATATGACCCCTCTGGTATTTAAGGTATATGTCTCTAGGACCCGAGACATGCACTTTCTCACAAAAAGAATCTACTTTTGAAATTGCTTGTTTCATTAGAAATAATTGAGAAAAAAATATCTGGGAAATAACATGATTACACTTTAACATTATTCTGGAATTACTAATTGAGACAATTTGCCACACTTTATTTTTACTAATTCCAACTGTGTTTGTTAATCTATTACAAATGTAAAATCATGCAGTTTGTCCAGGCTCTATATTGTTGAAACTCATATTTTGTATTTTGATACTACAATTACCTAAGACTTTGAATGGATTATTCCAGATTCGAAACCATGTAAATCCATTATACAAATTTAGCAACGTTTAGGGTTAACATTAAGTTTTGGAAATAATATCAGACCAATGTCCCCAACTTTTCCCTCAGGCCCTTGTCCCCAGTGCACAGTGAGACAAGTGTCCTCAGATCAGTGTCTTCAGTGCACAGTCCGACCAGTGACCTCAGTGCACAACCAGACCAGTGTCCTTAGTCCACAGTCAGAGTAGTGTCCTCAGTGCACACTCAAACCAGTGTCCTCAGTCAACAGTTAGACCAGTGTCCTCAGTCTACAGTCAGAGTAGTGTCCTCAGTCAACAGTCAGACCAGTGTCCTCAGTCAATAGTCAAACCATTGTCCTCAGTCAACAGTCAAACCATTGTCCTCAGCCAACAGTCAAACCATTGTCCTCAGTCAACAGTCAAACCATTGTCCTCAGTCAACAGTCAAACCATTGTCTTCATTCAACAGTCAAACCATTGTCCTCAGTCAACAGTCAAACCATTGTCCTTAGTCAACAGTCAAACCATTGTCCTCAGTCAACAGTCAAACCATTGTCCTCAGTCAACAGTCAAACCACTGTCCTCAGTCAAAAGTTAGACCAGTGTCCTCAGTCCACAGTCAGACTATTGTCCTCAGTCAACAGTCAAACCATTGTCCTCAGTCAACAGTTAGACCATTGTCCTCAGTCCACAGTCAGACCAGTGTCCTCAGTCAACAGCCAGACCAGTGTCCTCAGTCCACAGTCAGACCAGTGTCCTCAGTCAACAGTCAGACCAGTGTCATCAGTCCACAGTCAGACCAGTGTCCTCAGTCCACAGTCAGACCAGTGTCCTCAGTCCACAGTCAGACAAGTGTCCTCAGTCCACAGTCAGACCAGTGTCCTCAGTCAACAGTCAGACCAGTGTCCTCAGTCCACAGTCAAACCATTGTCCTCAGTGCACAGTCAAACCATTGTCCTCAGTCAACAGTTAGACCATTGTCCTCAGTCCACAGTCAGACCAGTGTCCTCAGTCCACAGTCAGACCAGTGTCCTCAGTCCACAGTCAGACCATTGTCCTCAGTGCACAGTCAGACCATTGTCCTCAGTGCACAGTCAGACCATTGTCCTCAGTGCACAGTCAGACAAGTGTCCTCAGTCCACAGTCAGACCATTGTCCTCAGTCAACAGTCAGACCATTGTCCTCAGTGCACAGTCAGACCATTGTCCTCAGTGCACAGTCAGACCATTGTCCTCAGTCCACAGTCAGACCAGTGTCCCCAGTGCACAGTCAGACCAGTGTCCTCAGTCAACAGTCAGACCATTGTCCTCAGTGCACAGTCAAACCATTGTCCTCAGTCAACAGTCAGACCAGTGTCCTCAGTCCACAGTCAGAACAGTGTCCCAGTGCACAGTCAAACCATTGTCCTCAGTCAACAGTCAGACCATTGTCCTCAGTCCACAGTCAGACCATTGTCCTCAGTCCACAGTCAGACCATTGTCCTCAGTGCACAGTCAAACCATTGTCCTCAGTCAACAGTTAGACCATTGTCCTCAGTCCACAGTCAGACCAGTGTCCTCAGTGCACAGTCAGACCAGTGTCCTCAGTCCACAGTCAGACCATTGTCCTCAGTCAACAGTCAGACCAGTGTCCTCAGTCCACAGTCAGACCATTGTCCTCAGTGCACAGTCAGACCATTGTCCTCAGTCCACAGTCAGACCAGTGTCCCCAGTGCACAGTCAGACCAGTGTCCTCAGTCAACAGTCAGACCAGTGTCCTCAGTCAACAGTCAGACCAGTGTCCTCAGTCCACAGTCAGACCAGTGTCCCCAGTGCACAGTCAGACCAGTGTCCTCAGTCAACAGTCAGACCAGTGTCCTCAGTGCACAGTCAGACCATTGTCCTCAGTGCACAGTCAGACCATTGTCCTCAGTCAACAGTCAGACCAGTGTCCCCAGTGCAGTCAGACCAGTGTCCTCAGTCAACAGTCAAACCATTGTCCTCAGTCAACAGTCATACCAGTGTCCTCAGTCAACAGTCATACCAGTGTCCTCAGTCAACAGTCAGACCAGTGTCCCTAGTACACAGACCATTGTCCTCAGTCAACAATCAGACCAGTGTCCTCAGTCAACAGTCAAACCATTGTCCTCAGTCAACAGTCAGACCAGTGTCCTCAGTCAACAGTCAGATCAGTGTCCTCAGTCAACAGTCAGACCAGTGTCTCAATAGGACCAGTGTCCCCAGCAAATAGTAAGATCAATGTCTCCAATGCACAGTCAGGTCAAATAATTTGTCAGTACAATCTTGCAGCCTGTCTTATCAAATTCTTTGTATATGTATACAAAGCCAACATGATATGAATAACTACTAACTCATCAATAATCTTTTACAACAGTCCTCAGGATTCGTGGACAGTAAAGATATTTTATTTGTTTTTCTGGATTTTAACACCAATTTTAAGATTTTGAATTTCAAAATGAACTATTCTGAATACCAAGCTGGACAAGTCCATTACAGATAGTCGGGAAGATAGAGCGGGCATGATGAAATGAAGCTCTTCAAGTTTAAACTCATCATTAATCTTATATTCAACAGTGTGCAGGTTTTGGGACTCTCTTTTGTTTGTCAAACATGCGGTATGAATTAATTAAATAAAAAAGTTTTGAGAATATCTGCTGAATCACCTCACCATTGATATCTAAAATCTTGAGATTCCGATCTTGGGTGTATTTTGATCTCTTCACAGACAGAGAGTGGGTTTATCCAAACAAGAATTTTAATCTCTAACTTGCCAAAAATACACTGGCTGTATAAAGCTGTCTTGTTAATATCGGAAACGAAATTGATGTGTTAACATTTTACAACTTCAAAGGTTTAAGTATTCTTGATTTGAAATTGTTTTCATATAGTATAAAAAGACCCGCATGACTTTGTAGTAATGTAGTCGGAAAAGAATATGATTTAGAAGTTTATATCGTACATGCTGTATAAGTGACGAAAACGGAATGGGAACTTATTAATACGCCCATATTTGATATATACAAGGAAAATATTTGTTGATTGTTAAAACACAGTACAAATTTTGTTAAAGATAGTTTTAAACTGAAACCTTTGTTTTGTGCAAACAAGCCTTTTGTCAAATATTTAGATTTATATTATTGATGCCCTAAATCCTATTCACTTTGAGACAAAATGACTTGCATAATTATATGACCAGTATAGGGCTGAAACAGTTTGCATGTCATGTAATTCGCCATAGCTTTGTTTGTTGACGGCTAGATTTTTGTATTTTTATGCACCCATCATCCACCCTCCCCCACATTATCTCCCTCTCTACCCCCCTGAAGGATCGGGGAGCAGATAGTTGATTGTTCATCCTTCAGAGATTCCGTGTTCTCAATATCTCTTAGCGATTATATTTATCTTGGTAGATACATTTTGGATAGTCCTATGACTTTGGGATCAAGGTCAAGGCCACCAATACTAAAAATAGATTTTTACACTTTTGTTTATGCAGCTTTCAATCATTGACTGATGACTTTCAAATTTTGTAGGTATATACTTTGGGTGGTCCTCTAACTTTTGGTGGAGTTAGGTGTCACTTGGGTCAAGGTTGCAGCAGTTTGATGAGCATCCATACCTTTAGTAATATGTCTTGTTAGTACTGAAATACCCTAGATATAAACTAATAATGGAGAATTGAAATCGGTTCACCCCTACCATGTTCATATGGCAATGTTGACCTGACTATGGCCTGAATGTTTCAATAATTATCTGCCAATAAACTTATGATTTCAGACTAAAGTTGTTTGAAATTTGCATTCTTTATTAATCCGCAACCAGTAGAAGTTAAATATTAACAAAAAACCACATTTTTCCAATTGATCACCTAACAGAATGCAGAAATATTGCCTTATTTTGACAAACATTGTACAAATTAGCACTGAATGATATTGTAAAATGACATTGACCAGTTAACACTGATGTTGGTGCCTATAATGAAGAAACCAATATCTTATCATTGAGAGAGTGCGTCAAGTTCAGTTAATTTCGCTATTGTAAGTATTTCCCTCTCTCGTCTATTTACAGGTCATGTGTGTATATTGTACATGTGTGTATGTAATGTGTGTAGTATATACTGGGTGAATGAAATGACTATTACAGTTTACTTCAGCTTGTCACTTATCTGTTTTAGTTGTAATGCATAAAGGTTTAAACTTGGGATAGCGTCAAATACCGACAACTAACATTGTATTGTTAAGTTAACTTTAAGGTTTAATTTTTGCCGAAGTGTTTTGATAAAAGTAATTTGTGCAATAAGCGGTTGAGGTTGGATATTGTATTTTCTTCATTATTTGCAGAGGTAAGATGTATTCCCTGTTCAATTATTTTTCAGCGTATTTTTATGTTTGTTTTGTCGGGGAAAGATATATTTAGATCATATCGCCTTATCAAGTCAAATTCTTTCATGTGAACAAGTTTTGAAAGGTTGCCAAGTTCAATATTACAGAGTGTTTTTTGTCTTGTGCGTAGCATGTATCTGGTATAACAGCAATAAAAAGCGATACTAAATTAACAGTGTTTTCTTTTTGAGGTCAATCTAACATATAATTGAAGATCAGTTCAAAACCCAATCTGTCCCCATTATTAAAAAATTCAACATTTATGTTTGTAGGGGTGGTTGGGAGGGGTGTGGATGGGGAGTGTTGTAAGGTTGGGTGGTCACTGTGATACATATTTTGTTGTACAGGGCATATAGGGCATGCTGACTGATAGGTAGATCTGTTAGTTTTGTTTTTGTTTGTTTTTTTGTTGAAACAATTTCATATTTAAGGGCTCAAAATTGATTGGATTATGTCATAAAATGCAAAAGTTTTAAAAACTTTGCTTTAAGGTTATAATGGTACCAATTTGTCGACTACTGAGTTTAATATAATTGTGTTAAGATTTCGGTTCATGGTTCAGACACGATTTTGCTTCACGGTTCAAGTAATCTGTACTTAATGGTACAGGCGGCAAAGCAACATTTTTGTAACAAACATATTTATCTCTATAACCTGTTTAACATTTTGAAAAGTAAAGCAAGCTTGGCTGTCCTTAAGCTTGTCCTTAAGATAGTATTAGATACCTTAATATTAGGATTTAGCGATTTACTGATTTTTGTGATTAGATTAATTGCAAGTATACGAAAAGTTTACAGCTTCATAAAATACATGTCTTCCTCTCTCTATATAATTATAAAGTGTTACTATGCTGAAATTCTAAAAATAATTTATATATTAAAACCAGGACAGAATACAAAACCTTTGATTTTTGGCCATAAAATATCTCAATTTGCAACTAATCACTTCTGTTAATGCCAACTCAGTTTGTTTTTCAAAAGACTTTAAAAGTTTGGCAAAAATTCATAAGTCAGACAGTATATAATCAGAAAAGGACCAGTGCGTGCTCCATATTTCACATTCTTGGCAGCGGTTCATTGCAGATTTGGGAACTTCATTAATTATCAATGAACCTTGTGTTTCCTGGGTCATTGTATAGGGGACATTCCTTCGGGTTAATATAGTGTAGTTGTGTTCATGTAAAACAAAAATGTGTTCGCTTTTTTGTCACTTCGTTCCTGGCAAATTGCCTTTTTGTCGGTATTATGCTGCGTTGTTGAATGGAGACAAGTTATGTCTTATTATTATACAAATGTAAGATGACAATTTGGCAAGTAATGGTACCTGTGAAAGGTCATAGAAAGGTTATTGATCTGATCCAATAACTAACTAGTACATGTTTATACTATAGAGGTAGACAATCCTTTTAATGGTTTACATTAAATACCTAACAGAATTCTGTGTCCAAATCAGATAATTTATATTTACAAGAAATAATTACATGTAGTTGAAAATACAATGTACATATACATAATTAGCATTCAATTCATGATTGGTTGTATGACTCTGGTCACATGCCAGGTCACATGATCATTTTTGAGAGCACATTTTACTCTAGAGATAAGCTTTTGCGTTTTTGTCATCTTATCATCATTCTGTCCACCATCTTTAAATGTATAATTTCTGTAGACAAAATATCCTTAACCACTTGTTTGATTTTGACCAAACTTCACAGGAATGGTTCGTAGGTGTCCTCCGACTTAAGTTTTATAAATGGTTCCAGTCTGATGCACAAGTAGATTAAATTTGAGCTAATAATAGACTGTAACACTGAAATCTTTAAAAATGTTCTCATAAACTATAATGTCAAGAATAGAGATATTTGGTATGAAGTGTCATCTTGTGGTCCTCTTGTGGTTCAAAAGTTATAATTATATGAGCCGCGTCACGACAAAACCAACATAGTGCGTTTGTGACCAGCATGGATCCAGACCAGCCTGCGCATCCGCGCAGTCTGATCAGGATCCATGCTGTTCGCTATCAGTTTCTCTACTTGTAATAGGGTTGGTAAGCGAACAGCATGGATCCTGATCAGACTGCGTGGATTATGTTGGTTTTGTTGTGACACGGCTATATATATAATGCCTCTGAGGTTACTTTTTATTTAGGTTGAACGTCTTTTTTATTCGACTGAAATATGAATTGACATTGGCAAGAGTCATAATTATGCAGTATAGAAGGGACGTTCTGTGTTACTAGGTTACATCAGTAATAGACTGATAAGATATAATTGTCTCATAGTAAATGTATTCAGGTTAGGAATTACTATCACAGGGCAATCTGACAACTGATGTATGGAAGATGGCCATGTAGTTCATGTAGTAGGAAGATCTTATACTCTATGTTACCATGTATTTCATGTACTTTGGCAGTGACTTTTTTAGCTACAGTTTTCAAAGATAAATGAAGCTATTGTTGTGACCTACTTTAAATACTTATCGGTTCTGGCGTTGGTTAACCCTTTTAGTTATATTATTGATTTGTCGTTATCTGTATCAAAGCTATTATGTTGACACCTTATATGTTGATGCACCTTGATGAAGTCTTACTTCAATAATCATTTTCAGGTCATAAGGTCAAGGTCATTGGGACCTGTGATAACAAAAAATAAAACTGGCCTATAAGATAAAAATGCATTGACCGGGAAACTTCCAGATTTGTATGTACGGACACACCAGTTCAGGTCAAAAGGTCGAGGTCACTTGGCCCTATAATAACATTACATAAAACTGACTGAATCAATGTGCATTGACCAAGGAACTTCAAAGATATACCTGTGAGAGTTTTTAGCAAATATTTTGCCCAACTG